GAGTCCCACACGACAAGTGGCAGAGGCCACTGAAGGTAAAGGCGAATCGAGTCAGTTTGCGGAACTCAAAGCCGTCCAATTGGCCCTGGACATCGCAGAGAGAGAAGGATGGCCAAGGCTCTACCTCTATACCGACTCATGGATGATAGCCAATGCCCTATGGGGATGGCTAGAACGATGGAAAAACATAAGTTGGAAGCGTAGAGGAAGACCCATATGGGCTGCTGATTTGTGGCAAAACATCACTTCTAGAGTAAAGAAACTAGATGTGAGAGTCCGCCACGTAGATGCCCATATACCCAAGAGTCGAGCCAACGAAGAACATCGTAACAACAGACAAGCGGATAGAGCTGCGCAAATTGAAGTGACACAAATAGACCTGGACTGGCAACATAAGGGAGAATTGTTCCTAGCCCGATGGGCCCATGATGCTTCAGGTCATCAGGGCCGAGATGCCACCTACCGACGGGCACGAGACCGAGGGGTGGATTTAACCATGGACTCTATTTCCCAGGTTATCCACGATTGTGAAACTTGTGCTGCTATCAAGCAGGCAAGAAGATTGAAGCCCCTATGGTATGGTGGACGCTGGGACAAGTATAGATATGGAGAAGCATGGCAGGTCGATTATATCACGTTGCCACAGACCCGTCAAGGTAAGCGCTATGTGCTTACCATGGTGGAAGCAACCACTGGATGGTTGGAGACATATTCAGTGCCCCATGCAACGGCCCGGAATACCATTCTGGGTCTGGAAAAGCAGGTCTTATGGAGACATGGCACTCCAGAGCGAATTGAGTCAGACAATGGGACTCATTTCAAGAATAATTTAGTGGCCTCGTGGGCATGGGAGCATGGTATTGAATGGGTCTATCACATTCCATATCATGCACCTGCTGCTGGGAAAATTGAAAGATATAACGGACTGTTAAAAACAACTTTAAAAGCACTATGTGAGGGAAAATTTAAGAACTGGGATAAGCACCTAGCCAAGGCCACCTGGTTGGTAAATACTAGAGGCTCTGTCAACCGAGCTGGCCCTGCCCAAGCAGAATCCCTCCACACTGTAGATGGAGACAAAGTTCCAGTGATTCA